AGAGTGTACATATGTGCATGCATGCATGAAAGAGAGGGAGCAAGAGAGATCATAAAACCAATCCTTTTCAAAATAAGAGGCAATTGGCAAATATCGATTTATATGAGGTCTAGAAAACATAACCATCACAATTTCTTTCTTCTCTTATTTTGTTACTTTACTTAAGCAAATTTTATGTTAATCAACTCAGAAACCCATCCTGAAGGTGCGGCCTTCATCTGACCAGGGAAAGTAAAACATTAATTCCTTGAAGGTCAAAAAAAAAAAAAAGTGGAGAGACTGTACAGGACCAGAACAGCAAACACACACAAAAAGTGGAGTGAATTAAAATAGTGACAAAAATGAAAAAACAGGAGCGATGTAAAATCCAAATCACACTAAGACATTAAGGTCTCTGGTCGTAAAAACCAATGAAATCAGAAGAATTTAAATTGTCTGTATCAAATTGCCTTGAGGAGGTAGCAGATAGTCAAAATGACATGAACATTATGTTACAATACAACATTAATCCTAAATTAACCCCTTTTTGGGACCACATTTGTTTTGTTCTAATACTTGTCAAATTAAAATAAGAGGCAACTTTTAGCCTGGCCTCAACAGGAACAGCAAGACCAGGAGATATCAACCAGAAACACTGTGTGAAACCTGGCTCCAGGAAGTCAAGAATTCATTCTACCAGGAGGAGCTCTCTATGACCAAGACTTTAGCCATCATCTCTTGTATGCAAAAATGCTGGGACTGGAAAGACATTTATCTAGTAAATGTATTTACTGCTTCACCTCTGTCTGCACCTCTAGTCTCCGGAGAACTACCAGCTGGATCCTCCCACGAATGTTCCCCTCCATGGACATGGAACGCCTCAGTGTTTCCATGGCCTCATGATTTGACTTGCCCAGAAGTGACTCCCCATTTACTGCAACAAGCTGATCATTTATTCGCAAACGACCATCCTACAAGCAAAAAATAAAAACAAAATATTAAAAAACAAAAAAAAAATCCCAAAAATAATTATTAGGCAGAGGTGCTACATAGAGGAAAGCAAGATGCACACAATCAGACATTGCTTTCTAAAATTTAAGAAATGAGACTGCATAGTACCAGGTCTTTAAAAAGAAAAATCTGTTTGTCCATTAATTGACCATTTTTTCCTCCATTTACTATATTTCAGGAAGAGTTCATAGGGCAATTACAAACATAGAAGTGCATGCTCACACTGCTGTTTTTCTTGCATATACAATTTAATTTGTATCAGTTCTAAAAAGAAAACAGGAACAGGAGCTTTTGGTTAGTTACGAGGACCCACACCACAGCTGTTAGTATCTGCAGTGCAACCACGAAGGAGTAGTGCAACGTATTTTCCGTGCATTATTATCTGCTATTAGGGTCTGGTAAGAAACAGCTCCAAAAATTTTGTCTTATAGTCTCATTAGTGTCTATCTTGTCACAATTACCACACCACCATATGGGGGTAGTGTTCTCAGTTCAGAATGGTCATTAAGACTTAAGCATCCTTATTTTAATTAATGCCGTCCATGTATTTTAACATCCAAACCTGCTGCCAAAAACAAAATTAGGGTTGAGCCATATCAAATAGCCTGTGCATTGAAAAAAGTCATTCTGTTTCATTGCCAAGGTTAACTGACATTTGTGGGTGTAATAAAATTGTGGACACTGCTATTTTGTGATTTAGGAATTCTATTGCTGTTGTCATTATTATCTGTGATTTATTTCTTTTCATAAAAGCATGTGCCATGGACTCTTCTCTCTTTAACAAGAAAATAAGGTCTATTTAATTAAGAGACAAGAGTTTCTTTTAAAGGTTGTCAACTTCACAATTATCAGGTTGGCATCAGATGTCAAAGAAGGAAAAGAGAGTAAGAAACTGAAGACGTCTTATATAGGAGGGCAGTGAAGAAAGAATAGCAGGAAAAGAACTTGCATGGAAATACATTGCCTGGTTAAAACAAATCTGCTTCAATCACAGCCTCCTTACATACTCTTCATAAGGCACTCAACTGAACTGGTTACATATTTCATGCATCTGAATAATCCAAAATATATATACTTTTTTATTTTTATTTTTAATATCATTAAGATGTTCAATTACCTATTCGGCCATTGCTGCCAAGTCTAAGTCATTTGTGCTCAAGTGAGTTACAGTAGCTGTGACAAACCCAGCTTTCTCAAGTGTTATTTTTGTTGGAACTGGGTATCATCATTAGCACAGCAGAGTATGAATAGCCACTGAGCTGAAGAACAGCAGCATGTACCAGAATCCAAAATAAACTAGGAGGGACAAGAAGATGGAAAGACAGAATTGGTAGATGAGTCACTCAGTGAAGGCAAATGAAGAGAAATAAAACTTTTCTGGGGATGGTATGGGAATGGAGGATAGGAAACAGCAATGTCATTTGAAAAAGATACTGAAACCTCTGCCACCTCTCTGCTGAATATTTCATGCCAACATAAATTTACATACAGCCAAAGGCAATAAATAGGTTAACCCCACCCTTTCTCTACATACAAAATGATGCCATCACACATGCTGAACTTCAGGGAGAGAAGAGTTAACACTGTTGAAGATGGAGTTTTATTATTTGCACATGTTGTAATTCCTTTGTGTTCTACCAAAATTTGCTGAAATGAATGGAGCTATTCACGGCAACAGGAGTTTGAGGAAAAAAGATCTTATTTTTTCTGAGTTTCAGTAAGACTTTGAAAATTTTACAAGTCCTCATGTCCTCCTGCTATGGCCCAACAGGTTCTTGGATTACTTTTTTTTCATTTCTGCGGATAAACACCCATGTATAATATCTCTTAAAGATTCTTACTGAAGTACGTACAAATATATTATCAAATACATCTTGCCATGACTACATCTGTTAACTATGCAACTGTCCTGAACACAACGCGTGTTTTTAAACAAATCACCACAGCTTCAGAAAGCTCTGAATTGGCCTGATTTCTTATTTGCCTTTTAATACTTTTGTATGAGACTTTGTATTTATTTCTTTACATTTTATAATGTCAGTTCTTAAAGAAATTCTTTTGATGCATCTCCCTTCTTCCCACTCTGTTACATGCTCCACTTAATGCAAAATTCAACTTGAAATCAACACTTCAACTATGATGGGAATAAAAAGGTGTGTGTGCTTCATAAATGCTGATCAACTACACTTGCTATGTCACCTGTACAAGGTAGGCTGGAAGGCAGCTGAACTCTATTTTCACACATGCTCAGGTAGAAGTTATTACATGGGAAAACCTTTTGCTGTTTAAAGACTGAAAAATAAAATTCCCTATATCTAAACAGTTTCCAAACATAGATTTTCACATCACTGGTGTTATGGCCTGGTTTAGAAGCCTGAACTGCAAGACAATCTGCTTGGCTTAAAACAAGCTAAATGTTGTTTTAACACGTTTTTTCTTTTAACTCCGAAAGGTAGGTTTCTTTGTGGCTTATGAGTAGAAAAACAACATTTGGCATTTCAGCAAAACAGTTTTCAAATGCCATCTCTGAAACTGCAAGTGAGCTATTCTAATAAAGGGTGAAGTTACTGTTCCCTTGCTTATTCAATAAATGGTTTTTTTATGGAGACTCACAGCAAGGGACAGAACCTACCACCACACGGCTACCATATTCAGACAGTCAGTCGCAAGACTCTCATGCTTTCTACAGTAGAGCAGGGAGATATAATGCCGTGTTCTTTATGGACTTATGTTTTTAATCAAAGCACACCTAGTTATTTCCCTTATCACATCAATGACATTTCTCTCACTCAAAAGGAATTCCTTGATGACATTTATTGGAATCATCCAATTTCCCCATCCACTGCACACAGCAAGCGATGTTTACTGCAACAGCACTCAGAAGCCCCAAGGAAGTTCAAGCTACACCATGAAATATTCTACACATAGAAAATATTCCATTATTTCTAATAATGGCTCTGCTGCATTTCAGCTGCAGTAGACAGCAAGTACCTGATCATCAGGAATTCATCACAAGTGAAAAGCCAAGTTGTCTCGAGATGAACAAGGCTGAAATCCCTAAAGTTATGGGGAAAGATGATGCATTTAAACTCAGTCAAATGTTAAGTTTTCCTCATGTGAAAGGCTCTGCATAATTACAAATATCAAATATTCTAGTAACCTCTTGTCTTAGGGATGATAAAAATAGACACTTCAAAAATTACAAAAGGAGGTTAAGAAGGAACATAATGGTTCAATCAGCAAAAGTAACTCTTTTTATTCCTGCAGGATATAGTGTTAGAATACCAATTAAGAACATTAAGGCATTTTTACTTCATTTGGTTTTGTAGCGAGAGCGGTAAATAGGCACTGGGTCTTACTGTAGCATGTATGATGCAAGAAGCATTGACATTTTCTAAAATCTTTAGCTAGGACAAAAAATCCTGAAGTATAGAATTAAAGACTTCAATTTTCCCTTATGTTTTTTTACAGCTCCCTTACTGTGCTTTTCAACAGCACTAGCACATCAAAGCTGAATTAATGCGTTAACATTTTGAAAAACACTAAAAAATGTTGGCCTCTTCAGACCTGTAGTTCAGACCAATTATGGATAACAGTTACCAACCAAAATTGTCTGCATCTCATATGTAACTCTTCATTCTAAAAAACACACTGGTGAAAGAAATTTAATGTATCAAAACCTTTGTACAGCATTAGAAGGATTGAGCATTTACTTCAGCAGTGAAACAAATGTGTTGAAGTTCAATGTATTACATGTCTTCTTTTGAAGACAAGTGGTGACTATATAGACAAGGGGATAAAGCTCCTCCTTATATTCCCATGGTATCACAAAATCAGACCAAATTTTAAGCTCCAAATGCAGAAGTGAGAAATAGTGAGAGAATTCTCATGTCAGTGAGCATTATGATTTCCTCCTATGACAGTTTCCCAAGAAAATTTTGTCCACTGAAAAGCAAATGCACATGTCTAATCCATAATACTCCATTTCAGAGAGTTACAATGAATAGCATGGGAAAATGCTCTGGACAACTACCAGCTGGAAAGAAATGCTTTTTATTTAAAAACTTGCCACAAGACGACACTTAAAATAAGGACAATAAGGACATCTTTAAATATTTATGCACAAATATGTGCACACTTTTTAACTTGATACAAGAAATTTTATTAATTGTTAATACCCACTGATTATGTTTTGTTCTATATAAAGGTCGTTAGGCAGGAGAAAGACAGCTGTTCCCCATGCATATGCAATAGTAAACTGTGGTTCTTAAGACACTGCCAAAATGATTGCATTCTGTGAGTATTTGTATAAAACACATAGGAAAGATTCTCTGAACAGTTCTGGTTGAAGCTAGTGCCTCAGCTACCATCTCATTTGCTCTGGAGCCTACAGTCAAATCTATTTCTACACAGTTCTAACTGGTGAAAGGGTTATAACGAGGTAGAATAGAGGATAGGTCACAGGACCACAGGTCATCACAAGACAAAATAATCTTCCAGTCATGGTGACTAAATGCACCAGCTGCCCATTCACTTGGGTGTGAGCGCAGAAGTCCTGCTTTATTAGTCTGCAGACCCCTCAAGCCCAAATTAACTGCTCTGGGGTGAGTAGCTATGGGAGAATAGAGAGTGGTAAACATACAGAGCTAGAAAGGGTTGTCTTACTTGTCTATGATGTGACAAGTCAGGTAGCCAGCCCACTAACACTGCCAGAATATGACTCCAGAAGCTTTGCTATTCAAAACAATTAAGTTTATTCATGGCAATACCTACTGTCACTGCAACTGGTGTGGACAATCACTGAGGGAACACAGAGCTGGGAAAGCAAGGAGGGCAGCCTCATTTTCACAGTAAAATAAGCTGTACTCTGTAGCAGACATGCACATAAATTGAGTTTATCCAGCCCTAATTTGGCCAGTCGTGCCTTAACTATTTTCTAATATTCATCAAGTAGATGAGCTTACTCACTTGTCATTTAGCCCTGAGTTAACCACGGACAGTGTTCTAAACTGCATGTGCCAGGCTCAGTCATACTTCAGAAGATCTGAGCTCTGAAATAACTGTGGGACTGGGACAGGTAAGTAATTGAAGCGGGGAAGTATTAAATATTCACATCAAAGCTAAATCCTTGATTATTGCTATTTACCAGCTGCTGTAAATAGATGATCATGAAAGTTTTAATATTGTGAACTGTCTTACTCAGCAAGCTGATGTCAGTAGAGGAATTTACATTAACTGAATTAAAACGTATATTTACAGAAAAGAGGACTGTGAGGAACTGCTGAGATAACACAAGAGAAAAAAAAAATACATTATGGATCCACAACAGTTAAACATACTAGCCCTGAGAGATTAAGACTTTTGTTTCTAATTTCAAGAAAGTTACCTTTTCCAAGTTTTATTGGGGGAAAAAAAAATGCAGTCAACAGTTTTCCTAAACATTAGAAAATAATTCAAATACTTTTTATTCATAAAAATCTACAACAGTCCTTGTATAGTCCTTAGAGGGAGCAGAACAATTCATAATACTGTCATTTACCAATTTAATATTAGCAATTCAATCCACCTCAGGAACAATTGGTAACTTCTGCACAACTGATGACAGGCTCAGCCAAGTCACATTTTTACTACAATGGCAAAACGTATTTTGAATAGAAAAAGAGAGAAAACTATGAGATAGCTTTTTATTTAGAGCATAAATTAAACGCATAATCCTTAATGTCACAGAACTGTCAATTTCTAATTTTTGTAAAGTGTGTTTTTTCATTATTTTTAATGGGTCTGCCTGTATCAGTTTGGGAGGACCAAGAGTAGTGCAGATAGACAGTAAATGTAGATATCTAACCTCTCCATCACTGAGCCTAGCAGCAGGCAAACCTTCCCATGCACTTCTGTGGTCTGTGGGGAAGCTGGGAGGCAGCCTCTACTCATACACACACACTTAGCCTTCTCCCCCTTCCTGCAGCATCCAAATGCCCCCCAAGGTTTCCACCAATTCACTTTTCCTTGTGGCAAACCCTACCACACACAACAGCAGTATCTTGGGACAAAACCTTAGTAGATTTGCATTTCACCTAAAGTGACAAAAAGGTATTCGTTCCTAGAATGCTTATCAAGTGAGATTCAGTACTCAACACAGAAATGTCAGAATTGTAATGCCATCATCGTCTGATGTGTTTCTTCCATACCTTAAAAGCAGCACCTCCGTGAATAACAGATTTGATGAAAATCCCAAGATCAGCTCCAGTCTCCCGAGATTTGTTGCCTTTTAAGCTCACACCAAGTCCAGCAGAGCCAGAATCATTTAGAGGAATCTCAAAGGTCAGCTGCTCTGTGGTTTCTGGAGAAAGAATACTGCAGTTTGGCTCTCCTTTCTGTTGGAGAAAACAAGGATGAGAATATGGGTGAAAAGGGGGCAGAGACAATGCAGAAACTAATTGTATCCATAGGTTCATATGACAATAAATAGTCCTCTTTTCCAGAAAGAAGCTTGAAGAAGCAGCCTTATAACCAACAATGCATCTAGCTGACATTTTGTCACATGATCTGGCTTAAAATGTTATTTTTAATGATACCTAGGAATATGCCTAAATAGAAGGTAAAATAGCTTAGTCCCACATGATATAAAACTGATGTTGCTGCAGAATATAGACATTTATTTTAAACACAGCTGCATTAAAAATGTAAGCCATAAAACTCTGAACATCTTTACATGCAGCTCACAAACTGTAATGATAGTCGTACTGTTAAATCCCATTCCCCTCTGAAAATCGAGTTTCATCCTTAAAAAATTATCCTTCCCTTAAACCTGCCTACAGAGGGAAGTTGGTGCAACAAAAGCAAGGGTGAGAATTGAAAACGCAGTAACTTAATCTACACTAACTCCTTTTGTGCATACTTTTATTCCATAGAGGTTTGGGGGTTTTTTTTCCTTCTGATATAGGTTGATCCCAAATTTTTTCCTAGATTAGACTGCTGTTTACAAGACTGACATGTCAAGTATCCATAGCTAGGGAAGATCAGAAAGAGCTTTCTCTCACTGTATACTGTATCTGCAGTTTTGTAGGGTTGTATGTTGGGGGGGGGTAGGTGGGTGTTGGTGGTTTGTTTGTTTGTTTTTTTAAAAGCAAATTAGAATCATGAAATTAAACAAAACCAAATTCAAGCCTGAAATATTCATACTAGCCCTCTACAGAAATAAAACCAGGACAAGGAGACCTGCTATGGACTAAAATGTGTTCATTGAAAGTATTAATGGAAAAGACCTTATGCATCACATCTGATTTTATTCCACTCTTCCTACTCCATATAACTCTAAGAAAATTAAGTAATGTTTCTTGTCATTTGGACATTTTCTGTTCTTTGTAACAGTAGTGTTCAAAAAAAAAACCTATGAAAAGGAAATACACAGACAAGTATGAACTGGAAAAGATGACTGGGGGCTGCTTTCAAGGCCTTCAAACTCCTGTGTTGAATTATCAAGTGGAGACCACACGCAAGGAAGAGTGTAGTAGCTGGGCCAATCCACCTTTTACCTAATGAAGGATTGCTTCCAGGGCCTAAGCTGCAGAACATACGCTATCAATGCCACTGTCAAAGATGCCAGCAGTACAGATGTTTCCCCAGCAGCCAGAGTAGTCCCATATATTCATCTATTATGCTGTCTGATCAACAAGTACGATCACAGAACTAAGAGCAGAAATTAATATCCCAAAGCAACCAAAAATTAAAAACAGTAACCACTAAATATACTTTCATTTGTTTCAGATGCTCTTTCACTGATGAGAAGCAGCTACTGGCTAGAGAGGAACAACATGAACCAGAGAGCTAGGACTATGAACCTCAACCCCAAGATGCACCATGATCAAATTCTTCCTGGAAGGTAACTACATGATACCAAGTCAACACAATTTGCCTAGCTGCCAAATACAAAAATGACATGGCACCAATGCTGACAATTGTCTTGATGCCAGCACTCATCTCCAGTACCTGTGTTACTCATTTGTGCTTTTGTCTTTGTTCACCGTAAGTAGACAATTCTTGGTTACAAATCTTTTATTTCCTAGCTGTGGATATAGAGACAACCTGAATGCAATCCCTCAAAACTTACAAATTCATACTTACTACTGTGAAGAATACAGAATTGTAATTTGTAAACACTCCTGCTCTGACTTCCTTCAAAGAAGTCAGTGTAAGAAAATAAACCCCACTATTACTGGCCTCTAGCATTCTGCATTTAACTTTCTCAATGTTTTAGAGGAAAGATTTTCTGCCCAATCTTGTTTTTCAAAATGCACATATTTTCGTCAGCCAATTCAGAACTCTTAGATCAAAATTATACTCAAATGGCACAACCTGTCCAGATTTGAACAGTGGAATTTTTTCTCAGGGTCCCAGACGTGATGTCTCCTGCAGCCCTATTCTGTATTACTTTCATGATCCCCTATGCAAGCAGTTCTTGTGGGCTGCTGCTATTCTTCAATTCATGACACCTGCACCAGACTCTTGCCCCTTCTGTATGTCAATACCTGTGGTTTTCTCTTTCCCAATACCATGAGGAAAGCAGTGAAGGGGGTTGTTATCACAGGACATAAAAGCTCTCAGTGCCCATGCCTACCTTCACCACAGCAGTTACAAATTGCTCTGTATGTTACCTCAGTATGAACTTGGAATTCATATACAACTGAATTTGCTCACATTCAGATCAATTTTTAATGGGGACTGCTGAAGGTAAGCCCTGGCACAAAGGCTATTATTCTGCAAAAAAACTTTCAAGGAAAAGGTGACACAGTATTTTTCTCAAGAAAAAAAAATGTATTTTTTTGTTAGCTTCTTTCTCAGGAGCAGCTTACCTGTTTCACTTTAAGCTCCAAGATATACATTAATTTCAGACTAAGGACTTCATGCATTTGTTAACATAAACTTGTAAAAAAACAAAGACAACAGCATCTATACATGTCCCTCAAGCCAATATATGGAAATAAACTAGGCAGATGAGTCTGCCTGAATTCACATCAAAGCACTGTAATCAATACCATTCTCATTTGTGCTATCACCCTTGTTGCCGACCCACTCGTGACACTGATGACAAGGCTGCAGCCCCCCCGCCGTGCCCAAGGTCTTGGCAGCATTGGGAGCAGTGGTGGCTGTAGGAGGCAGGACACTGTCCCCTTCTCCATGGTACGGGCACAGGCTCCGCAGCAGCACTGTGCTCAGCCCCAGACTTCAAGAAACAAGCTGGATGGATTCCAGAGGACAGCAATCCAACAAACTTGTTTAACCTCACAAAAAAAAAAAAAGCCTAAAAGGGGACATAGTAATAGTCTTCAAAACACTTTACAGTAGCATTTTCCCCCTTTTTCTTTGCAGGTGATTTTTGACATCAGAAATATCTCACTTAAATAGCAGGCAAGGAAATGTTGGTGAGACTCTGAGAAAACCTTTGCCCTCAGTATCTAGGGAAAAAAGACTGACTAGGTGGCCACTAGAACTCTCTCAATAGAAACTTACTAAGATAATGATATTACACATAGTTTTGCAGTATAACTTATTCCAGTTCTAGATTTTGATACAAATAAATGGCTAAAAGCAGAATAATAAAAAAGTAAGAGTTGTTCAATGTTCTATATTTTCCAACTTCCTTTAATATAACTGTGCATTAGCTCTTGTTAAGTAACCTACCAGACCACTGTCTGCATGCCTGATCTGTTAGCTATCAAACATTAAGATGTATTAAAAAGCTATCAAACATTAAGATGTATCCAGCAGGACACCAGACAAGTACAGTAAATTTTTGTCAGTATTTCCTTTCCTCTGCTTTCCTTAGTACCTAATTTGGAATCCGTAACATTTGGCTACCATTTTCCTTGCCACAATTCTCTGAGAAATACATAATTTAATCACACAAAAGCTTTAGTAAATTTAATTTAAATTAAAAACCCACCTGCTTTTACCTATTACTGAAGAACTCTCTTAATATTCCTTAAAGTCCTTAATATTCCTTGAAGTCCTTCAGAAGTGTTTCTTGTTCAACATAGTCCAATTATCCTAAAAATCTCTCCTTTTCATTATTTATACTCAGCCTTATCCTAAGATCCAGCAAAAGTTAATCCAAAAATAATGCTGAATTTTGTTTAATAGTACTATCAAAAATGTGTTACCCATGAGGGAGGGTGAATGACATTTCAATGATTTCACAGGGATGGGTAACAGGAAAGGAGATGTGCATCTACAGATCAATGATGAATTCATTATAAGACCAAGTAAACTCTGTCTTTATTCCCTTAAAATTTTCATTCAGTGCTCATCGTATGGCATCTGATAGCAAATGCCTGGTAGTCAGTCTGTAACATCAAGACTCTTTGGTGCAAATACAAGATGGAAAACTTTTCTTTGTGGGAGAATTTGAGAAGCAGCAGGAAGGAGGAAAACCAGAGGAGAAAAAAGGGACAAACAGAACCTATACACTTGATTTCTTCCTATACTCGCTGAATGGTTTCAAATTATTATCCTGATGATAGTGCTCTTCCCAAGGAATGCCTTTTCACTGATGACCAAAAAGAGCTCCAGCCATCCTTAAGTTAACAGCTCATCAATTAACTGCTTCACTTGGGTAACTAATTTCATGAGTGATAGCCCCTGTTCCTAGAATATGCAGGTATGAATATTAAATACTCCTAGTGTCTCACAGAGGTGGATTCCCATTGCCTCTATTTCCCTGACTTTGCTAAAACATTATCCTAAGACATCGATACTTTACAACAGAGCAACCACCATCAGCTGAATTATGGTCTGGTAAAGTAAGTCCTCTCCAATGCACTACACCTTGAATCCTCTTAGAAATACTTCTTACCTCAAGATCATCCTACAAACTGAATTCACTCAAACACAGAATGAATGAAACTAGCTGCAACACAAATATGTTTCTAGATCAGGAAAAACTACAGTTTAATGTTATAAATTACCCAGTCAACAATCACATTGTGTATTTTCCACGACAAATGTATCACACCTCAGCGCTTCAGGAATGAAATGATAATATACCACTGAAGTTATTCCCTGCTGCAGACATAGGTAACTCACTCAATGGTACTATGATCAACAAGAAATCTTCATATAAATCAAGGCCAGATAGCCAAGCGATAAGACCTCCAGATTGCTAGAGCTTTGAGATGGCCTGGCCTGTACTTTTCCTTTAAGATGGGTACACTGAAGACAGCAAAAGGGATTTTAAGCTCTTAAGTATTAATAAAACATAATTAACAGTGAAGAAAAAAAAAAAAAAAAAAAAAAAGACTTGAAAATCAATGTCCACTGCCTGCTTTGTCCTTGTTGGGCAGGTCTCTCCTTCAGCTTTGCTAAACCTTAGCTTGTC